CAGGCGGGGGTGGGGGGTGAGGGTGGATTTGGGGTCACCTCCCAGCTGGGACCGGGCAGGAACACACTGGGGTGAGGTGTCCCCATGCAGGTGAGATGTCCCCATGGAGGTGTCCCCATGGAGTGAAGTGTCCCCATGAAGACGAGGTGTCCCCACGGAGATGATGTATCTCCACAGAGATGATGTATCCCCATGGAGATGAGGTGTCCCCACAGAGATGAGGTGTCCCCACAGAGATGAGGTATTCCCATGGAGATGTCCCCATGGAGGTGAAGTGTCCCCACGGAGATGAGGTGTCCCCACAGAGATGAGGTGTCCCCACAGAGATGAGGTATTCCCATGGAGATGTCCCCATAGACGTGAAGTGTCCCCACGGAGATGATGTATGCCCATGGCGATGAGGTGTCCCCATGGAGACGAGGTGTCCCCACGGAGGTGAAGAATTCCCATGGAGATGTCCCCACAGAAGGGAGGTGAGGTGTCCTCGCAGAGGTATCCCCATGGGGATGACATGTCCCCACAGAGATGAGCTGTCCCCAAGTGCATCCCGCCCCCCCAGCCGTCACCGGCGTCCCCGTTACCTGTGGCCTCCACCATCCCCTCGAGGATGACGACGATCTCGAAATCGTCCTTCTCCAGCTGGTGCCGCGAGACGTCCCAGAAGGGGCTGTGCTCGTCGATCTCGTGGCTGATGATGAGGGGGGAGACGAGGAAGAGGCGGTCGTCGCCCGTCTCGAAGCCCACGCTCAGGTCGGTCTGGTCCAGGGGGATGAACTCGCCCTCCTGCGTCTGCTTGGACTTGATGAGCTTGGCGCGGATGGAGGCCTCCACGATGTGCGAGTCCCGCAGGTCGCCCACGCGAAACATCAGGCAGAGGCGGTCGTCCCGCAGGGAGACCACGGCGTGGGAGGAGAAGACCAAGGTCTCGGCCCGTTTGTTGGGCTGGGAGATCTTCACAAACATGCAGCCCACCATGAAGGCGTTGACCATGGAGCCCAGGATGGCCTGGAGCAGCAGCAGCACGATGCCCTCGGGACACTTGTCGGTGATGA